CCGGCAATCAGTTATTCGGTTCCTTCAGTTATTCGGCACTAATTTTGGCTAGCATAATTTCAAATTTCCAGGGTTGCCACACCAACCTGCTGGTACTGTTTGGTGGTGCTACTTGCTGCATAAGTCATTCCAATTTCTTTTTCTTCATTTATTGTTTTAACCTGCTTACTTTTAGCCCTAGCCATGGTTCCAATGAATAAAAGAAATGCTTCTCATTATGTAAAGCACCTACACAGTACATTATCCATTAAAGATAAGGTGACTTTGAAGCCACTGTCAGTTGCCATGAGCTCAGTCTCATGAAGCAGGAGAATATGACTCAAGAAATCGTAATGACACGATTGCAAATAAACCATATCCCCGGCCGGGATTGAACCCGCGGTCATAGAGTCTCAAAACTCCAGCCCGTCGCGTTAGCCACTAGACCAGCTAGCCACAATAAGATTCATCCAACTAGGTATATTTCTACACCATAGGAAGGTTAGCACAGGCACCTCTGTGACCACAAATGCAAGTTTTTACAGACGAATCTCCAGCTAGCGAGTCATGTTGACGGCAGTGAAGGGACTTGAGCTAGAGTTCGTCACGGCCACGCTAGCTGGAGATTCGTCTGTAAAAACTTGCATTTGTGGTCACAGAGGTGCCTGTGCTAACCTTCCTATGGTGTAGAAATATACCTAGTTGGATGAATCTTATTGTGGCTAGCTGGTCTAGTGGCTAACGCGACGGGCTGGAGTTTTGAGACTCTATGACCGCGGGTTCAATCCCGGCCGGGGGTATGGTTTTTCAGGAGAATATGCTTTATTATTACGCTAATATCAACACACAGCTTATTTGCCTTTCACAATTGATCTAATATGACATAAGAAACAATATAAATAACGTAAAATGTGTTAAATACTCCAGAATGAATAATATTTGGCATAACACTGAGCAGTTCGACAGAGTTATGAAGAGGATATGGTAAACAAATACCATTCTCCTATCCTTGTCTTGGTGGCTTATATTAGAGAAAACAGAGTATAGCACAGGGCTAACTATGATATACACTCGTACTCCACCATAAACATGAAACAAAAAAGTTATTTTCTCTATAGATTATCACACATAGCAGCATGTGTGTAGAGAACCTAGGATAACCCCAAAAAAGTCAACGTGGCTTATTTTTAGTACCTGGCTTGGATTAGACATATATGATTTTTGGCAAATATTTGATTCCCAGCCAGGGTAGAAACATTAGGCGTGTTTCTTTACACCTGTTGTCTATGTTTACCCATCAGTAAATGGGTACCTGGGTGTTAGCCGACTAGCGTGGGTGTTATCCTGGGACACTGACCTAATTTTCTTGAAATACTCAGCATAACAAGTGCCTTTCTATACAGTAGTATGTCACTCATATTGTAGATAGTGACCCTCGTATTGTAGATAGTCTTAATGACCCTCGTGTAGTAGATAGTCTTTTTAGTATGATAATAAGATGTTATCTTCATTATAGAATAATAAGAAAATATTATAACATTTATATTATAATAATAAGGTAAAAGGACCCCAATGGAAATAAGTCTGACTTGTGTACGAATGGTATATAATACCGACAAGATGAGATTAAGACACATGTGCAACATCTGGGTATCTTTATTGTAGACGTTTCGCCATCCAGTGGCTTTATCAATACAAATTCTGTCTTCAAGTTATGTCCTAGAATTTGTATTGATAAAGCCACTGGATGGCGAAACGTCTACAATAAAGATACCCAGATGTTGCACATGTGTCTTAATCTCAAGTCTGACTTTTTTGGGTTATCCTAGGTTCTCTACACATATGCTGCTATGTATGATAATTCTATGTAACTGTATTTGCGTATACCTGAATAAACTTACTTACTTACTGATGTCAGCTAGGCCTATATACCTCGTACATGTACGTGTAGTAAATAAAGATATTATAATTATTATTGTTATTATTATATTATTATTATTTTCTCAGTTGTTTGTTGGGTTATCTTATTCAAATTGGGCAATGTATGATGAAAGATATTCTTACGTACACAAAATGAAATGAAATTGAGACATAAATAGCGGAAGTTCACTTCTCGCCATTACGGCCGCTAGCGGATATTTTTGTATGGTGTTATGTTATATTTCATTTTTTCAGTCTCATTTGATAGAATGAAGTATATTACAGAAATAGATATGAATTTGATTGCTTTATGACGAAAGTTCTTGAAATTGCGCTCACAGTAGCGGAAATGTCTATCTTAGCGAAGCTCAAGAGTAAACAATGACATCACCGTCCAATACCTGTCTGCTGCCAGTCCAAATTCAGTATGGAGTCAAGAATGGATTGACATTATTTATACAATTATTACAATAATGCAGTAGTCTGCATAACAGTAAATGTTTTATTTTATTTTTTTTTTTTGTGAATAAAAATTCCAAATGGTAAGCAAGAGTAATATAAGAGGGGCCTGTAGCCATGACTAATGAACAGAGAAAATGTTATTTTAGTGCCAGGAATGTCTACATTGTTTATTCTGGACCCTATTTTGAAATTGGCATCTGTTGAAATTTGTGTGAAATCGGCCAAATTGCCAATTTCTGACCGCTTTATTGGGTAGTTGAAATAAGTGAATGGGCGGTTTCTTGTACTCAGTTGACAGACTAGAAGTAAATAAGTTTATTCAGGTACATGTATACACAAATACAGTTACATAGATTATCATACATAGCAGTGTATGTATAGAGAACGTAGGATAACCCAGAAAAGTCAGACAAAGTGACTTATTTCCAGTACCTGGCTTGGGCTTCCCATATATGATTTTTGGCAAATATTTGTTTTTCTCGGCTGTTTGTTGGGCTATCCCATTGAAACTTGGGCAATGTATGATGGAAAGATGCTTCTTAGTGTACAACAAAAATAAAAATGACAGACGAGAAATAAGGGAGCTCACTTCTCAGCCATTAGCCGCCTCTTTGCAGTATATTTTCGTATGGTTTTTATGGTTGTATTCTCATTTTTTGGACTCATTTGATATAATGGAAGATATATTACAGAAACAGACATGATTTTGATTGCTTTCATGATGAAAAGTACCTTGAAATTGAGCTCAAAGTAGCGGAAATGTTCGATTTTTGCCGATGTTCAATGAACTGTGTAAGTCAAGTTGGTTAATTTTATTAAGTGTATTCTGACTTAACCACTCTGTAATTTGGCAAACTCAGTAATCCGGCACACTACAGGTCCCAATGATGCCGGATTTGTGATGGAGGGCATGTAGTACTGTTGAAGAACTGCAGCATATTTTTGTATAACACTTCGTAATATTAACTTAACATGGTTCAGTTTGCGGGAGGGGAAAAAATTTTGAGCGCTTTGCCCATGTGATACACGCTGTTTGGCTGTGGGTTAGGCCATTGAGTCAGTGGGGAAAACCTGCTGCCACCCTCTGCCACCCCTACCACCCTTGTCCCAGTCATCAGTTTGTGTGTAGTACATCCATCCTCTGCTAGGAGTTTATATCTTTTAATTGCCATATCTCCCAAACAGTCATGGGCACCCAGTAGGCATACAAATGTTGCTGAAAGTGGCAAGGAAAGGTTTAAGCGTTTAAGTTTTATTTAAGTCTAGAATTAACGAAGAAAATAGAGTTACGTATTAGACGAGATAGCCTGTCCCTGTAATGAGGTGTCACTTTGTGCACATAAAAACAATGAGGTAAATGTGAGTTTGTGTGATTACTGACTGACTTACTGACTGATTTACTGACATGACTGATTTACTGACTGACTGTATTACTGACTTGACTTACTGATTTTGACTGACTGACTTATTGACTTGACTTACTGATTTTGACTGACTGACTTATTGACTTGACTGACTGACTGATTTACTGACTGACTGACTTGACTAACTGACTGACTGACTTGACTGACTTACTGATGACTGATTTACTGACTGACTTGACTGATTTACTGACTGACTGACTAACTGACTTGACTGATTTACTGACTTGATTGATTTACTGACTTGACTGATTTACTGACTTGACTGATTTACTGACTTGACTGATTTACTGACTTGACTGATTTACTGACTTGACTGATTTATACTGACTGATGACGGGACTGATGACCTGAGATTGACTGCTGACTGACTTGACTGACTGACTGACTTGACTGACTTACTGACTTGACTGACTTACTGACTGACTGACTTGACTGATTTACTGACTGACTTAAAGTTGGAGTTTTTCAATGAAGAGGACCCTGAAATGGTGTATAGAGTAGCTGATGTCTTACTGTCAGTTGTATAATATACCACAGGGTAAAATAGTACAGAAATACATTACAGAATTTATGCACACTCTGGTACAACCATTGACTTCAGTACCAGAACCTCTGCCATCCACATCAGCCCAGTAGGGCCACAGCATAACTCTCCACTCTCCACAATTATCCACAAACACCAGCACCCACAATTTAAGGTAAGAAATACTATTATTTCTGTTGCATTTGTAATCTTAAGCAGTAAAAGTAACATAATACATCACAACAGTGAACTACAATTACATATTCTTTTTTATTTTTGTAAGATCTGGAGGTCTAAAAAAAAGTTGTTTGGCTTTTTTGGGGCTCCATGGAACGTAACCCTATTTTTCCCATGAGTTCTTCAGTTTGTCTAAAACGGTTTTAATCCTTAAACTGTCTATACGTAGATCTATGTTCACTCGCGTAGCACTCTGAACGTAGATCTGCATTTTATTTTACATACTTTCAAATATAAAAAAAAAGTAGATCTAAGTTTGGAGCGCTACGTGAGTGAACATAGATCTATGTTTGGACAGTTTAAGGGTTAACTTAAACTGTGTTTTCAGGAACGTAACTACCATGTTAAACGACGATCTACTGTATTTCATTTAGCACTACTGCATATTTAGCTGCCTCATTGTTAAACATATTTGTGTTTATAGAACAGAAATTTTCTTGCATTATATCTTTTAGAAAACGACAGATGGTGCTTGAGGAACAACTTAAAGAAGCAGCTCGTGAGCCAAAACAAGTGAACACTGATGATAAGTTTGCTTGCTGTTCTCCCATCTGTCTCTCTGCTGTCCTGCCAGCCAAAGCCTACCTTAGATTTGTAAGTTTACCATTGAAAAAGTTTAGCATATCAAAAAATTGAAAAATAAGAATGTAAATATAGGGATTTAATAACAGATAAAAATAGAAGAAGATATTAGACGGGCTAGTGAGAGTATAGGCAATGGGGTCGAAGATGTATGGGGCAGGTTTAAGAATGTAGTGTTAGTGTTCAGCAGAAGTTTGTGGTTACAGGAAAGTGGGTGCGGGAGGGATGAAGAGCGATTGGTGGAATGATGATGTAAAGAGAGTAAGTAGTAAGGGAGAAAAAGTTAGCATATGAGAGGTTTTTACAAAGTAGAAGTGATGCAAGGGGGGAAGAGTATATGGAGAGAAAAAGAGAGGTTAAGAGAGTGGTGAAGCAATGAGAAAAGAGAGCAAATGAGAGAGTGGGTGAGATGTTATCAACAAATTTTGTTGAAAATAAGAAAAAGTTTTGGAGTGAGATTAATAAGTTGAGGAAGCCTAGAGAACAAATGGATTTGACAGTTAAAAATAGGAGAGGAGAGTTATTAAATGGAGAGTTAGAGGTATTGGGAAGATGGAGGGAATATTTTGAGGAATTGTTAAATGTTGATGAATATAGGGAAGCTGTGATTTCGTGCATAGGGCAAGGAGGAATAACATGTTGTAGGAGTGAGGAAGAGCCAGTTGTGAGTGTGTGGGAAGTTCGTGAGGCAGTGGGTAGAATGACAGGGTAAAAGGCAGCAGGGATTGAGTGGGATAAAGATAGAAATGTTGAAAGCAGGAGGGAATATAGTTTGGGAGTGGTTGGTGCTATTATTTAATAAATGTATGGAAGAGGGTAAGGCACCTAGGGATTGGTAGAGAGCATTCATAGTTCCTTTGTGTAAAGGCAAAGGGGATAAAAGAGAGTGCTAAAATTATAGGGGAATAAGTCTTTTGAGTAAACCTGGTAAAGTGTATGGTAGTTATTATTGAAAGAATAAAGAGTAAGACAGATAGTTGGATAGCAGATGAACAAGGAGGCTTTAAGAAAGGTAGGGGGTGTGTAGACCAAGTGTTTACAGTGAAACATATAAGTGACCAGTATTTAGATAAGGGTAAAGAGGTTTTTGTGGCATTTATGGATTTGGAAAAGGCATATGACAGTGTGGATAGGGGGGCAATGTGGCAGATGTTGCAGGTGTATGGTATAGGAGGTAGGTTACTGAAAGCAGTGAAGAGTTTTTACAAGGATAATGAGGCTCAGGTTAGAGTATGTAGGGGAGAGGGAGATTATTTTCCAGTAAAAGTAGGCCTTAGACAAGGATATGTGATGTCACCATGGTTGTTCAATATATTTATAAATGGGGTTGTAAGAGAAGTGAATGCTAGGGTCTTGGCAAGAGGTGTGGAGTTAAAAGATAAAGAATCAAACACAAAGTGGGAGTTGTCACAGTTGCTCTTTGCTAATGACACTGTGCTTTTGGGAGATTCTGAAGAGAAGTTGCGGAGGTTGGTGGATGAATTTGGTAGGGTATGTAAAAGAAGAAAATTAAAAGTGAATATTGTAAAGAGTAAGGTTATGAGGATAAAAAAATTAGGTGACAAAAGATTGGATATCAGATTGGAGGGAGAGAGTATGGAGGAGGTGAATGTATTCAGATATTTAGGAGTAGACGTGTCAGCGGATGGGTCTATGAAGGAGGAGGTGAATCACACAATTGATGAGGGGAAAAGGGTGAGTGGTGCACTTAGGAGTCTGTGGAGACAAAGAACTTTGTCCGTGGAAGCAAATAGGCGAATGTATGAGAGTATAGTTGTACGAACACTCTTGTATGGGTGTGAAGCATGAGTGATGAATGTTGCAACGAGGAGAAGGCTGGAGGCAGTGGAGATGTCATGTCTGAGGGCAACGTGTGGTGTGAATATAATGCAGAGAATTCATAGTTTGGAAATTAAGAGAAGGTGTGTGAGTACCAAAACTATTATCCAGAGGCCTGAGGAGGGGTTGTTGAGGTGGTTCGGACATGTAGAGAGAATGGAACAAAACAGAATGACTTTGAGAGTGTGTAAATCTTCCAGCAAGCATGCATGAGCGTATTTGATAGTGAATGGAGACAAATGGTTTTTAATACTTGATGTGCTGTTGGAGTGTGAGCAAAGTAACATTTATGAAGGGATTTACGGAAACTGGCAGGCCGGACTTGAGTCCTGGAGATGGGAAGTACAGTGTCTACACTCTGAAGGAGGGGTGTTAATGTTGCAGTTTTATAACTAGTGTAAAGCACCCCTCTGGCAAGACAGTGATGGAGTGAATGATGATGAAAGTTTTTTCTTTTTCGGGCCACCCTGCTTTGGTGGAAATCGGCTGGTGTGTTAATAAAAATAATTAGCTAATGAATAGTGGACAGTTGTTAAAGCCAGATCACTTTGTATTCAATGTGAAATTGATTTGTGAAAATATTTGTCAACAAAACAAAATTACTACTTTTCTTCAGCAGCCTTTTATGTGGAACTTACTAAATTTATTAGCTTAAAGGACAGCTGTGGAGAATATATATTTGCCCAGTGATCCCAAAATCTTGAGGATAATTAAAGCATGGGACAATAGTGTCCTTTTTTGCTAGATTTTTTAAACTCTGTACTCCTCTGTGTTTGATGCAGTTCATAACTAAAGGGTGTTCACTGTTTTAATATTTTACAATATTGGTGTGAATGAGGTATTACATAACAAATTTTAAGGGGGTTCTCATGAGACACAAAGGTAGCAAGGTTTGTCACTGGAGGCAAAATTGGAAATGTATCTGTCTATATTTTGTATATTGGTACTGACCTTTTTTTATGGGTGCATTGCAGCAAGGAAGAGATCAGAGAAACTGAAAATGTATAGTGATTAATGATATTTTTTTTTTTTTTTTTTTTTTTTTTTTTTTTACATTTGACCAGGATGCCCATGATGGAGAGGTGAATTGTCTTTGCTTCAGCCCCCAGGGAAAAATAATAGCAACTGGAGGTGGTGACAGAAAATTGAAGCTGTGGGATATTAGCCGTGGTTAGTATTACATAATCATTAAAATATTACTGTATTGCTGTATTACTGTGATTGCTGTTGTCTTTTTTCTGTCTCATAAACATGCAAGATTTCAGGTATGTCTTGATACTTCTACTTACACTTAAGTCACACTACACATGCTTGTACACTAGACCAGTCCAAAAATACATGTTAATTTTAAAACTTTAAAGTGCACTCCACAATGTAATTTTTATTCCACTATATGAGCCTGTTCTTTGTGCCAAAATTTGGTCCATTTCATGCATATTTAAGGGTTGCGCAAAACTTCATCTTTGGTTTCCTTCTATCACAGATGGCATCCTCAGCACCGAGCACACAAAGTGCATCAGAATGGTGGTTAGTAGGGTGACCCCTCGAGTTTTTCTCAACTGCCTGGCTTCTGATGCATGTCACAATTCTTTCACTTGAAGCAGAACCTACTTTCACTTTTCGTTGCCTTGATCTGTGTCTGGTTCTGGAACAAGGCTCTGCGTAGCGTGCAAGCCCCTCACAATGACTTGGACTTCCTCCAAACCCTTCGAACGTACACTACACACACAAATAACGAATGCTGCTTCCATCACCTTTGCATGCCATCTCTGGTATCTGGCAGAGCATCTGGTTGGATTGGTGTTCCTCGACGAGAAAGTGGACATTACGACAAAGTCCAAGATGGTAACCAACCTTGAGTGGGAAAAGAAACCAGGGTACCCCCATCGCTTGCAAGGTGCCCCAGAAATCAGAGTTGGACTGGAGGAGTTCATGACTAAGAGGACACTGAAGATGTTTAGCATCATTGCTGTGCAGAGGAAGGGGAAGGAAAAATCTTCCTTCTTGAATGAAGACCCCGAAATGTGGGAGACGAACACAACATTCCTGGAAATGAAGAAGTTTGCGGGCTTTTTGAAGGTTGTGAACAATGCAGCAGAAAGAACTGTTTCTTGTGTTCAGAACTTCAACGTGTTGCTGACCAAGGACAAGGAGCCTTATGGTAGATCATTGTCACCGCTTCCTTGGTCCAACCAAGGAGAGACTAATGAAGGAGGGTGATTGCTGAATTTTAGAGGGACGGATTGAAGTCCCACCTTATTTTATCATTCAAGTAGGCATGAGGAAGCAGTATTACGAGCGAAATGAGTGCAGCAAGCAGAGCGACATCTTACTGGCAGTTGGTGTGACAAACGAGTGACCCGACATGACCTGACCCGACTTGACACTACCAGATGCTTTTGAGAGGCTAATAACTTTTTTCCTATATAAGATAAAGACCTAATTCCTTTTGAATCTGATAGTCTCATGAAATAAATTATGTTACTAACCATTTGTTTCGCTGAAATTCCATGGGAACCCCCCAGAAAACCACGGTGTTTGGCCAAATTTCAATGTTTGTTCAACTTGAGAAGCGATTTATTTTCTGTTTTGACACTTTTTTTTTACTGAATTCAAAGAGAAAAGATGGGAAAATACAATTAAGAATTTACATTAACATTTTTTTCAACTTTTATTGGAGAAATTGGCTGGGGAGAACACCTATTTTCAGTGATTTTTCAGTTGAATACACACTCCAATGGTTGGTGAAGGTTGATTAAAACCGATGATTTCTCATCCAAGAATTCATGACAAACATGTGCTTTATTTAAATAAAGTGGTACCTCCTCTTCAATGCACAAATAATCGCTTGCTGGTTATTGATTCAGTCATTCTGCTTTCAGAGAAAATTGGAGCTATGCTATGCAAAAGAGGAACAAAAATTAAAATTTCTTCAGTTTCTCTTCTGTCAGCAAGAGATTCCTTTTTGTGTGACCCCTAAAATTGAATGAAATTTCCTGAAAATTGGTCTGAATTTTACTTAGGAACAGCGTAACAAAATAAAACTTGTGGAGCGAACAATTTCACAACTTTATTTTTTTGGACCAGTCTAATGTATACATTTATGTTTACACACTCATCTGAATTTTCTTTGACTTTATCTTAGTTAGTGCAAGTATGGGTAGTGGGGGAATTGAAGAGGGATGGGATAGTTTTAAAAATGAAATATTAGAATGTGGGGCAGAAGTTTGTGGCTATAGGAGGGTGGGTGCAGAAGGAAAGAGGAGTGATTAGTGGAATGATGAGGTAAAGGGTGCGAGTGGTTAGGTTAGAATACACTTGACCCAGTGGTGATATTTAGGCATCGGCGATTTCACCCAATTTACGCCCTATTTTTGGCCCATTTCATTCTTCCAGTTGGCCACACTCAAAGCTATTTCACTAGTATTCCTTCTATTCTGTCGATTGAGTACAAGAAACCGCCCATTTATCTATTTCAACTACCCAGTAAAGTGGTCAGAAATCGGTAATTTGGTCAATTTCACACAAATTTCAAGAGATGCCAATTTCAAAATAGGGTCTAGAATAAACACTGCAGACATTCCTGGTACTAAAATAACATTTTCTCTGCTCATTAGTCATGTCTCCAGGCCCCTCTTATATTACGCTTGCTTTCCATTTTGAACTTTTATTCATACAAAAAATAAAAGATTTACTGTTTTGCTCACTACTGTATTATTGTAATATTTGTATAAATAATGTCAAACCATTTGTGACTGCATATTAGACTGGCCAGTTGGACACGTATTGGATGATGACGTCATGTGTTTACTCTTCAGCATCGGCAAAAATCAGACATTTCCACTATTTTGAGCTCAATTTCAAGGTGCTTTCCATTGTGAAACCAATCTAGATCATATGTATTTCTATAATAGTATATCTTCCATTCTATCAAATGAGACAAAAAAAAAAAAATGAGAATACAACCATAAAAATCATACAGAAATGTACTGTACCAAAAACATGGTCACAGCTTTTTTCTAATTATGCACTCTGTGCTGCAGGATTTTTTTTATATAGTGCATACTTACCACACAGACCTATTCATTCGTATGTAGGCCCAAATTTACCGTCACAGCCTATCTGAGTGAGCTGAGCTCATGGTGACCGACAGTGAATTCAAAGCCAGCTTATCTTTTATGGACGTTGTTCAGTGTATGTGCTTTACATAATGAGAGGCATTTCTTTTATTTGTTGGAACCATGGCTAGGGCTAAAAGTGAACAGGTTATAACAATAAATGGAGAAAAAGAAATTGGAATGACTTTTGCAGAAAGTAGTGCCACCAAACAGTAGTGGCAGGTTGGTGTGGCAACCCTGGAAATTTGAAATATGGTAGCCGAAATTAATGCTGGATTATTGATGGAACCAGATTACTGATTGCCGGATTAGTGATGGCTGACCTGTACCAAAATTGCAAACAAATCACAGGATGGGTAGGTTTAAACTTCACCCATTCTGTGATTTGAAAGGAATTTTTTCAGAGTGCAGATTTTGAACTGACCACTTTAACATTTTTCATATATAAATTGTTATATTTCCTATAGGAAAACATATTAGAATGCTTCTCTAATAATCAGTGTATAATATAAAACAACTAAAATGCCATGGGAAAAGGGCTGTATGTCTTCTGTAATTATTAACTATAAAGAGAAAGAAGGAAATTAATTTTATATTCTGTGGTCACCCTTGGTTGGAAATAGTCTGTTAGCTAAAAAATTATGATGCATCTTTCCTGTGTGCACATAGCAAGGGGTACACTTTAGGAGCTGGAAGTAAAATGGTGATTCTTTGCTATATCACACTGTACTGATTAGTAACCTGTTCTGTTTTCTCCACCACCACATTATTATTTCACTGAATTTTTTTTTCATATTGCTTTGTACCTGTCTAGCATTTTCTGCATTTTCACTTTAACATTCACACTCGTATATGCTTTTATACTTATTGAGGCAATATTCAATTTTTAAAATGTTGTATAACACAGCAGATGAATTGGGAAGAACTTATTTAATAATTGCCAAACCAGCATGTAGAATCTTTTAATAAATACTTAGTTTTTCATTAGACAAAAATGTTTTTGACATTAATGATTTTAAATTTTTGGGACAGTTAACACAGAGGGAACAAGGCATCAAAGATAAATAGAGTAAAATACTGTAAGGCATACAAAAAGAACAAAATTTTCTTTTAGATAATTTTTAGAATTTAATGTGACTTCATGCAATTTTAAAATGATATATTTCATATAAATTTATGTAAGAGATGTATTTAACAAATCCACTAGGAATAAATGCTGAAGCCAGAGGATTGTTGACGGGCAGCAATGCAGGAGTAACATCTATAGATTTTGATGCAGAAGAATCTCTCATCGTAGGTGCCTCAAATGACTTTGCCAGCAGAGTGTGGACTGTTGTAGATCACAGATTAAGAGTAAGTGTTCTAATTCTGATTCTTTCTTAAATTTCTCATTTCCACATTATTGACTTCACTTACTTTTGTTCATTTGAAACCATTGTAGTATTTGAAGCAATGGAAACTGCAGCTACACCATAATGGAGCATTTGGTGGGAGACACCTGGATAGAGAAGGAAGAGAGAGGGATACACCTGGGTAGAGGAGGAAGAGAGAGGTATACACCTGGATAGAGGAGGAAGAGAGAGGGATACACCTGGGTAGAGGAGGAAGAAGAGAGATAGAGAGAGAGGGGGGGGGAGCAATTTCAATCACACATGAAAAATATTAAATCCAGTTATGCAGGGTAAGAGTAACTGTCAGAAAACTTTTCATCAAATAATTTAGTAATTAAAATATTTAAAAGTATTGTACATGCATTTACTTTTTGACTGCTATCTCAACTGGCCTTTGGAATTACAGATCAGATAGTCCAACTGTTATTACTAAAAATAATTTTTTTACTAATGAAAGTTATTTAAAAGTTATCCATGTTTAAGTAAACCTAGAAGTATTTTAAAAAGGAATTTTTTTTATTAATTTTCTAATTCATAAATTTTTTTTTGTTAAACTGGCCATCTCCCAAAAAAGCAAATACAGTGGACCTCCGACGCACGATGTTCCCAACATACGTTAAAACTGACCTACGATGCTTTTCAGCATAAAAATTTGACCCCGACGTATGTTGAAAAACTCGACCTACAGCATTCGTCCGGTCCGCATCAACATGTCTGTCCGCCTGAGCGCGCCTCAGCTGGCCTGCCTTCAGTTAGTGTGCCAATGTTTACAAGCCAGAGTGGTTGTTCCCAAGCATACATTCGGAATATTTTGTATTATTCCAGTGTTTTTAGTGCTTCTAACTGCTAAATAAGCCACCATGAGCCCCAAGAAAGCTTCTAGTGCCAACTCTGTGGTAAAAAGAGTGAGAAATATTATCGAAATACTATCGTACCACGGTCAGCTGCTGTAGCACCGTCAGCTGCTGCTGTAGCACCATCAGCTGCTGCTGCTGCTGTAGCACCGTCAGCTGCTGCTGCTGCTGTAGCACCATCAGCTGCTGCTGCCGCTGTGCCACCGTCAGCTGCTGCTGCTGCTGTAGCACCGTCAGCTGCTGCTGCTGCTGCTGCTGTAACACTGTCAGCTGCTGCTGCTGTAGCACCATCTGCTGCTGCTGCTGTAGCACCATCAGCTGCTGCTGTAGCACTGTCAGCTGCTGCTGCTGCTGATGTAGCACCATCAGCTGCTGCTGCTGTTGTAGCACCGTTGTTGGTGTGTCTTATTGAGAATATCGAGAAACAATTAACCTCAGAGGGTTAGCCACCCAGGGTAACCCAAAAAAAGTCAGTGTGTCATCGAGGACTGTCTAACTCATTTCCATTGGGGTCCTTAATCTTGTCTCTCAGGATGCGACCCACACCAGTCGACTAACACCCAGGTGAACAGGAAAAACTGCCTGGAACTAGTGCTTATATTGGTGAATTTAAGGCCAGCAAGGTTGGTTTGAAAGATTTAAGAATTGTAGTGGCATACACAGTGTGATAAGGCCTGTTCTGGAAGAAAATGCCAAACAGGACCTACATTACTCAGGAGGAAAAGGCACTCCCAAGACACAGTGTGTCAGCATAGTTGCTGATCCCCTTACATGTGTTGTATAGCTTATCTGAGTATCATAGTACCATCCTGTATAGCTTATCTGAGTATCATAGTACCATCCATATGTTTTATATAGACGATCCCTTACTAGGTCTAGTGACTGTTTGTGTGACGTCACGTGATGCGCATGTGTACGTGAGTACCTCTGTAACTTCCTCAGTCCACGGATAGACCTACAACAGGCAACAAGGCAGGCTGGGCCTCCCTTACCACAGTCTGACAATATATAGTGTTACCATCCAACAAGTGTGTATCTCTTCAACCCTCGTTATCTCCTTTCGAACCCTCACGATAAGTGTCTCATCAGTCATTGCTGCATCTTCAATAAAGGTAAGTGTCATTTACTCTTCATTTAGTAGAGTAGAAAATGTATATTTCATGTGTTAAATTTTTTTTTTCATACTTTTGGGTGTCTTGCACGGATTAATTTGATTTCCATTATTTCTTATGGGGAAAATTAATTCAACCTATGATCATTTCATCTTACGATGGGCTCTCAGGAACGGATTAATATCGCAGGTCGGGGGACCACTGTATTTACCATCATTCAATAACTGCCATGCCAGAAGTGTGCAGACATCACAATTCATGTGACCTTCTGAACTGCATCATATCCAACTTTCAGAAAGGAGTCGTATTTTTCTACCTCCTGTCAAAGGCTTACTTTTACTGGAAAATACCCCTTAACTCTTCTAATAGTACTGTATACCTTAATGGGTGTACTCAACAGGCATATTTCTCTATAATTCTTATATGTACAAATGAACTTTTCATGCTTTCTGCCAGTCCTTAGGCACCTTTCTTTCATCCATGTGTTGAACAAGTACACCATCCACTCCCAGGTATGTTGATACCTTTGATATACCTTTGAAGAATTTCGAGAGTATATCTACTCTGAGCCCGGCCATGGGCCAGGCTCGTCTGGTGCTCGCCTGGTCAACCAGGCTGTTGCTGCTGGAGGCCCACTGCCCCACATATCCATCACAGCCTGGTTGATCTGGCACCTGGTGAAGATACTTGTCTAGTTTCCTCTTGAAGGCTTCAACACTTGTTCCAGCAGTGTTTCTGATATCTTCTGGTAAGATGTTGAAAAGTCTGGGACCCCGGATGTTGATACAGTGTTCCCTTATTGTCCCCACCGCACCCCTGCTCCTCACTGGGTTTATTTTACACTTCCTCCCATATCTCTCACTCCAGTATGTTGTTATGGCAGTGTGCAGATTTGGGACCAAGCCCTCAAGTACCTTCCAGGTATATATTATGTACCTCTCTCTCCTCCGCTCCAATGAGTACATGTTCAAGACTTTCAGGCGTTCCCAGTAGTTTAGGTGCTTTACTGGCTCAATGTGAGCCATAAACGATCTTTGTATTTGTTCCAGCTCCGATATTTCTCCTGCCCTGAACGGGGTCGTCAGCGCTAAGCAATATTCTAAGTGAGGGAGCACTAGTGATTTGAAGAGTGTCACCCTCGGCATTGTTTCCCTTGTTTTGAAAGTTCTCAGTGCCCACCCAGTCATCTTCCTGGCTGTCGTGATCGTTGTCTTGTTATGGTCTTTAACCCTTTCAGGGTCGACATGCCCTCTCAGAGACTTGTTCTCAGGGTCGGCCAAATTTAAAAAAAAAAAAAATTCTTATGAAAAGATAGAGAAACTTTTCCCGATCATAATGACACCAAAAGTATGAAATTTGATGAAAAACTTACGGAATTATGCTCTCGCGAAGTTAGTGGTCTCGACGATGTTTACCCATCGGCGATTTTGCCCACTTTGAGCCCTATTTTCGGCCAATTCCAGTGTACTTGTCGACAAAAATCATTTCTAGTATTTCGCTAGAACTCCATTTTTTTTATCGAATGAGTACAAGAAACTACCCATTTACCGATTTCAACTATCCAATACAGTGGTCAGAAATTAGCAGTTTTGCCAATTTCACACAAATTTCAAAAGATGCCAATTTCCGAATAGGGTCCAGAATAAACAAGAAAGACATTTCTGGCACTAAACTAACATTTCCTCTGTTCATTAGTCACGTCCCCACTCCCCTCTTACATTCTTTTGCTTTCCACTTTGAATTTTTATTCTCGCAAAAAAATAGAAGATTTACTGTTATGCAGACTACTACATTAGTGTAGAAATGGTATAAATAATATCAGTGCACTTGTAAAAGAATATTAGACTCGCCAGTTGATGTGAATTGGATGCATAGCATGATCTGTTTACTTTTGAACTTTGATAAAAATCGAACATTTCTGCTACTTTGAGCTCAATTTCAAGGTACTTTTCTTTGTAAAACCAGTCAAACTCATCTCAATTTCTGTAATATGTCTTCCATTTTATAAAATGAGACCAGCAAAACTAGAATACAACAATAAATACCATACAAAAATGCAGTGCAAAGTCGCTGTTTTAATCCAAAAACATGGTCAAAGTTTTTTTTTCTCATTACGCACTGTGTGCTGCAGGATTTTTTTTTATAATGCGCACCCTGACCACATAGACCCATTCTTTCATATGTAAGCCTACCAGCTTTCTCTCACTAGATTTGAGGGTGCTAGAATTTAGGCATACTAGTACATCAAAAACCCTGGTGCGTCAGCCATACTAGTACGGCTGAAACCCTGAAAGGGTTAAAAGAAAGGTCCGCTGACATAATTATTCCTAGGTCTTTTACGTGTTCCTTACATTCTATTTGGTGACCCTCTTGAGTTTTGTATATAGTGCTCCTTTTGAGTTCTTCATTCTTTCCATACCTAAGCAGCTGGAACTTATCACCATTGAACGTCATGTTGTTTTTCACTGCCCACTGGAAAACCCTGTTTATGTCTTCCTGTACTTTTTCAGTATCCTCTACCGTACTGACTTTCATGTTTATTTTAGTGTCATCTGCAAATGATACAAAAGTGTGCCGGGTGTTTTTGTCTATGTCTGCTATGAGGATGAGGAACAGCAGAGGTGCCAGGACAGTGTCTTGGGGCACTGAGCTTTTGACCTCGCTGATGCTGGATCTTGCCCTGTTCACTACTACTTTTTGTGTTCTGTGTGTTAGGAAACCGAAAATCCATCTGCCTACCTTCCCGTAATGCCCATGGCCTTCATTTTGTGCGCTATCACTCCATGATCGCATTTGTCAAACGCCTTTGCAAAATCTGTGTAAATCACATCTGCCTTTTGGTCGTCTTCCAGTGCCTCCGTAATTCTGTCATAATGGTTCAGCAGCTGTGGCAGACATGATCGTCCTGCTCTAAAACCATGCTAGTTCGAGTTATGTTGGTTGTGCTGGTCCATGAAATTTGTAACCTCCCGTCTCATCACTCTTTCGAAGATTTT